ACACTGGCGCCCCGACGAGTAATTTATGTTGTTTGCGGAATAAATTTTAATGTAAAATTGCCACTTAATAATCCTGGCGTCGGAATAAATACGAGAATTAAAATTAAAAACTGCATGCCGTTCACCACATTGAATTGCACCTAATAACAGAGTGCCATTCTTAAAATGTACAAACGATTTTTCAGCGTAACGAATCTAAAAGCGGATTTCANTCCGAGGCTTTGTGTCAGCCCAATCACATATTGTGTCAATACTTATCATTTTATCGTAATTTAAAAACTTGGAAATTGCACGGTACACTATAGGAACTACGACAAATTTTCCCTAATCGGCGCCATGTTTTTAGGCTCCTCCCATTTGACGGATCCCAATAACTTTCTCACTATTTATACAAATCGATAGACATCTTACTGATTAAAATTCATGCAACCGTTGAGATGCTTCGAGGTATAAACGTATAATGGGACCCACATATATATACCCAAGCTTGTTTAGAAAACATAACCTTGCCTTTACTATCGAAGAAGCAGTCGGGTTTCGTAGGTTTATATTTAAACCGTGCTGCTAACAAGTTTTCAAGTTCTCGAAAATTATTCCAATAATACTGATGGCTTTGGAAAGGAAATCGACATAGCAAGACCTCATTTATTGAACTCATAGTTAAATGAACGATATGGTTTTATGCACTTTTTTATCATCATCATCTGCGTTTTGCATTGAAAAACTCATCACCCTTTAGAGAATCCCATTAGCTAGTACATTTTGTGTAAAATTAATTATTTTAAAATAGTTTCTGCTTCACAAACAACAATAAATAAAACTTTAAAAACCAACATTGTGTGTCGGTACATCTTCTTTTCCTGGTCAACGTGATTAAATGATTTGGAAACTACGGAGGTCAGTAACAGTTAAAAATGATTAAAAGACCCAGTAAAGGTAATGCGTCATCACATTTATCTTATACCTAACGGAATTTTTTCTGAAAGCGTTTGCAATTTAAAAATGATTGATTGTGTAATAGATATTACGACACAGTAGTCAGATAATTTGTTTTTTTTTTTTGGACTTATGTTACTTTTTCCTTTAATTATAGCCAGCTGCACCCCATTAGGGCGCGACAATAATAATTAGTCAAATATGGACAATCCTTTAGGAAATTGATTGTAAGACTTACTCTGTCCATTAGCCCATATTTTATAAATGGGACCTCATTTTATTTGCTTCATTACCTCGTATTAATTTTTACGGAAAGGTTTTAATTACAGTTCGGCTTATACACATGGGTTGAACCCGAGAAATTTACTGTGCGTGTACGGAAAATATTTAGTCGATCATTGGGAGTAATTATTTCAAATGCAGACAGCTTTCGTAGGGTTGATGACGATTATGACTTCTCTACCGATGGATGCGAAAAAAATCTTTTTGGGTGTTTCATGTTTCATTCTCACTAATGCTGTTGGGCGAGCAGTTCCTCCAGACTACGCCAGAAGGTTAGGCGGATGACCCTCTTGAATCTTCTTTCAGGAATCGTGGGAATGGGTGGGTGGTGGTTCGGGTGAGAAAGATGAGACGGATGAAATGAAGATAGAAGAGAATGAAAGATTATCTGTGGAATATTACTGCCCCAGCATTTGCCTAAGTGGTCTAAGGAAACCACAGAAAAGCTTGGACCAAGGTAGACGGACCCGGAATCGATTCGGCTTCCTTCCGAATGCTAAGTAATGGTCTAAACCTCTAGGCCATGCCGCTCTATAATCGGTGCAACGAGACGAGTTCTTACTAAAGGTAGGCTCACATAAATGGAATCGAATGGACGCGGACGGCATGCCGGAACGATCACACGGCATTTTCCGAATTTTATTTCGCATACATCGGAATCGATTCGCAGAACTGAGCTTACAGTAATGTTTTAATTAGAGAACATTATTATAATAAATAAGAAAGTAAGACTTAGTAAATCTCACCCGTGTGGCATACACAAAATTTCGCAAACAAAAGAAATAATAATTATAATAAAAATAATAAGTCAATAACCCCTTAAAATTACTTCATTAAAGGTTTAAATAGGTCATCACACCCCATTAAGGCCAATTCATACATATCGCACCGTGTCCATTCCGTATTTATGCGAACCACATTGTTCTGCCGTCATTTAAACATATAGTACCGTGCTGCTACCCTGTTTAGTTAGGGAGTTAAGGCCACGACGCAATAATAATTTTAATAAGTATATCTATTAATAGGAGACAGTAATTCCGAAAATGCATGGTACACTATAGGTATGAATTGATCCTTATTAGTAAAATTGTCGATGCCTCATAAGTAAACCTTCTCAGGCATGAAGGTCTACTCAGAGACATATTAGAGGCAGAAACTGGAGTTAGGAGGGGTAGAGGTAGAGGTTAGAAATGAAGAGGTATTAGAAAGAATAGGAGAACAGAGGACTATAGAAATCAATCAAAAATTGACGAATTAGGTTAGTAGAACACCTTCTCAGTCATGAAGGTCTAGTCAGAGACATAGAGTCAGAAGCAGGAGTTAAGGAGAGTAGAGGTAGAAGTAGATTAGATTACTGTTCGCAAATAGTTAAGGATGTGGGATGTTCTAGTTTTAGGGAAATGTGAAGATTAGCTCAGGATAGGAAAGAGTGGAGGTACGTGTCCAACCAGTCTTAGGACTGACGGCCTTATGATGATGATGGCATAAGTAAAAATGGCTTTGTGTGAAAAGTGAATAGTTCAAATGAACCGAATTATTAAAGCACGTTTTCCACACTAATGTTATATGCAGATAAACCATTGTGTATAAACTGATTATTATATCATTACGAAATATCGAAATATCCATTAAACTAGATTCAAATTCATATTCAATTTCCGTGTTATATTGTGATTGTCGTAGTTTATTTATATTAAATTGTCTGTCATCATGTCTGTTTTGACATAATAGCTTTAGCTTGCAGCAACTGTCTATGAAATACCTACTACACTGATGAATTCGAACAATAAATTAACTAGGTATCATTTGTTTTTTGTAAACTAGAGTTTTTGCTTGAGGTTTCCTAGAAAATTAATTTTGTATGAGTAGACAGGCAAAAAAACTTCAAAGAAAAGGAATTATAAAAAAACTTTTGCTGTTAGGCAGCATTTTCAATGATCCATGGGCAAAGACAGCTTCGTGGTCTTTTGTAGTCTTCGGCAAAAATTCGTTGATCAAACTTAATAATTAGAAAATAATTTTGTGCGATATGCCTTATCGAAGAACTTTTTGAAATTAATTATAAGTAACAACAACGAGTTTAATAACAAACCCAAAATAATTCATAAGATGAAAAATAAAGTTAGGCATTAAAATATCGAAATAGCATTTTGTAAAATTGTGTGCCTTTTTTATTATTTTTTTTTCTAAAATATGAAAGACTTAGAAATTACCCCTCATTACCCTAATTAATTTTTTCAGTTTTAGCTGATTTTACTTCACTTACGAGAAGTCTGTAGAACATTCAAATTGGAACTGCCTTCTTTTATGTCGCGGAATGCACTGATGTGAAAATATATAAACAAAATACTTCTTACAGCTAAGATAGGGATCATGCCCAAAATACTCCATTGGGCAGTTACCCGCATTACTTTTTTCTGATAGCGGTCCTTTGCTTCCTCTCCTTTTAGGACACTTCAAAAGGTTTCCTTTTGATGTAAATATCGTTTTCTTTTAAGGCGCCTATCCAGGCATGAGAAATCAAGTTTTATGTAAAACTCCACTTCTTCCTTTAGGAAAAAATCGGATACAAACGTATTATGCTGTAGATAAAATTATATGACGACAGAAAGCTTTTCGAAAGTCATAACCTTTTATATATTTGTTATGCTCAATCTCGTATTTTTTTCATACGTTTGTTTACAACAATAAGGTTATACTACTTTCCCTCTCCTAATTTGTTTAAATTTTACACAGAGTTTCTATATAACGCTAAAAAACACCCTAACGATAAGCGAAATTTAGTCGATTCAAAATATTATTCGCGATATCCAGTTTTGGTCTGCAAATGAATATGAAGAGTCACAATGAAGATCAGGTCAGAGCGATTACCCTTATTAAATTATGAGCATAAATGTCTGACTATGCTTAATGTATGTTTTTGGGGTCGCTGAATCCAAATCAAATTAACCCCAGCACGTCATGGTTTGGATATAACCTCAAAAAGCTTTCCAAAATCAAAAAAAAAACTATAAATCATAATACTAATCTCAAACGAGTTTAAACCTAAGATTTTATCTCTTCCACTAGATGCCTAACTTCATAATCCTTTTATCCTTTCAACGGTAAAATCTTATGACGTCTTAACCCTGTATCTCCGTAATCAACACTGAAACACTATAGCTCAATCCCTCATAGATAGATATCACAAAATTAAAACAGAATATCTTTATGATTCCCAAGGAGCTGAACTCTGGATAAACCATCAGCATTAGAATGGTGAGAGGTTAAGCAGTACTGATTCAGCACTATGATTACGGAAATATAGGGTTATGGGGTGGTAAGGTTTAAGGGTTGAGAATTTGAAGGATTATGAAATTATACATTTCGTTCAAGAGCTGATTGGTTGTGGGCTAAAATCGTTTGAAATTATTATGATTAACGACTTTAGTGGATTTTGGAGAGCTTTTTGAGGTTATGTCCAAACCTTGCTGACCCGAAAAAGATACTGTATACATAGTTAGACTCGCAGGCCGAATTTTTAAACAGTTTTAGTGGATTTTGAAGTATTTCTTAAGGTCATGTTCAAACCCTGACGTGGTGGACTCTAATTGATCTCGGATTTGGATTCAGAGATACATAGCCAGTCTTCCAGGCCGAACTTTTTTTTGGGTGGCTGAGCTATTAGTCATTAATCGAAGAAGCACCTGAATCTGCACCTATGTATTATTGCATCTGGAGTCTTTCGGGGGTTTAATAAGTTAGTAATTATAAATATGTAACATAAAAAAAGAGTTGCTTACCTGTTGAAATGCTTTCTAAAAGTGCCACTGACCCAATAAAGGGCCAAAGGGTTGGCACATGAGTTAAGGTATGACAGGCAAAATCCGACTATCCTCAGATAATGCCAGAAAGCGTTGTAATAATTCTGGGAATTGGGGTAGAAATAAAACCACATCATAAAGACGTGACTAGGTAGAAAGCAAACTGCGAACACGACCACGAACACTAGCACAGTGGCAGCCACTTTTTTTCTGGCTTTTATCTGAAATTAAAAATACTTTTTCAGACAGAAAAATTCACAGAATTCTTTAATTATTAATTTACGGCACGAGGATACTAAAACATGGGCTTAGATAGAAAAGAACACGGTGAAGAGAAATGGAAAATAGCTGACTCAGCCGGTTCTCACTATACCAGTGTATCACCGTCAAGAATTATGGATGACTTTGTGAGAATATGTACCTACATGTATGTAGTTACACTTACAATTAGTAGATTTACCCAATACGAAAGAAAATTAGTCAATATTTAAAAATTGTAGGTTGACCAAAGATCAAAAAATATGGACCATCTAAAATCCACAAACACCAAACCGCTGATACGCTGATGCACAGTGTGCTTTAAACTTCTGGAGACGTTTGCACAGTTTTTCGTACTGTTGACTGAAATTTTTTGAATTTGGGTTATCAAACTAATAAATTCAGGACTCCTACGCTGTCTGACAACATTATTAGATGTAATCTTTCAATGCGAAAGTATCTACTCAAATTTCTTTCTTGGTTTTATTTCATAATAAAGCGTTCCGTGGATTCCATCAAACTCAAATTGGCATAATCTTAAAAACCCGATAACAGCTCTTTGTAAAACTCTTATGACATTTATATGTAATAGGAATTTATGTGGATCAGTATATAGATACACATTAAGTATCACAACTAATAAATTTTTAACAACTTGAGTCATGTGAAAGCTTTAGACCCACATAAGTAGATAGGCAATGTTCCTTCCAGAACCACATTCCATGTATTTTCTTATGAAAATTTGTTTATTTATTTTATTCCATTTTACCCCTTTCAAGTCACTCTGACGTCACGGCTATCAGCTGTTCTCACCATCATTGCCAGCTATCATTGTCAGCCAGCTTCGCCACTTACCCCGGATGCTCCAGATCGAATTCATAAGGTAATACATGGGATCTTGGTAGGGAACGAAGGTTAACTATCTACTCTAAGTAATACGGACACCGATTACTTAACAAATTAATATACATATCTCACAAGGAAGTTTTTAATGAATGTAGACGTAGGTATTTACCTGTCTTTGAGTTCCTTGGGCTTCCCCGGGCATATTCTTCGTACTCTGTACTAAATATTTCGCCATATTCAAATAGAATATTGCAATAATTGCGAGAGGGATAACGTATAGAATCAGAAACCTCATCAACACGTTGATTTTGGGATAGTTGTGATACAGCCAATGAGTTGGAAATGGATAACAAACTGTGAATCGTACGATTCCATCATTGTCGGTAATGTCTCTCAGGTGAGAGCCGACTGCTGATGGAATAGCGCATATTATTGACAAAATCCAAATTGATACTGCTATTCCTAGGGTTACTTTTGTCGCTTGACTGCTATCACCTGCAAATAAAAGAGAACAAATAAATTTATGATAGGACGATTCGTCATTTTAACGAAACAAAATCGTACCCAGTGTTGATTCAGACAAAAGCTGTTGTATTAACCTAGCGGTGGAAATTGATTCACTACTATCATTTCGTATAAAAATAGGGTTAGTCAGCCAACGATAGATTGTCTTTAATTGAATTATAATAGTACATTATTTTTGACATGAGCGCCATTTTATCTAAATTAATATTACATACAATTTAGACATCTTTTTTAGAAGTGAGTATGTTTAATCATAGTATATTCAGTATATAGTTACATTAGTTCGACGGATCGTTAACCTTGTAGGTCGGTTGGTCGTGGTTGCTGTTGTCACCTCTCGTAGTTTAGTGGTCAGAACATTGGTGCGTAAAGCCAAAGGTCCCGGGTTCGATTCCCGGCGGGGGTGTGACAACAGCAACAATTTTTCCCTCATTAATTTGAGGTAGCGTGTAGTGGGTAAAAAATTCAGAAATGAATTTTCAGAATAATATTTCATATTAAACTAACTCACTTCTAAAAGATATCTAAATTATATGTATGTTTAATCATAGTATATTCAGTATATAGTTACATTAGTTCGACGGATCGTTAACCTTGTAGGTCGGTTGGTCGTGGTTGTTGTTGTCACCTCTCGTAGTTTAGTGGTCAGAACATTGGTGCGTAAAGCCAAAGGTCCCGGGTTCGATTCCCGGCGGGGGTGTGACAACAGCAACAATTTTTCCCTCATTAATTTGAGGTAGCGTGTAGTGGGTAAAAAATTCAGAAATGAATTTTCAGAATAATATTTCATATTAAACTAACTCACTTCTAAAAGATATCTAAATTATATGTATGTTTAATCATAGTATATTCAGTATATAGTTACATTAGTTCGACGGATCGTTAACCTTGTAGGTCGGTTGGTCGTGGTTGTTGTTGTCACCTCTCGTAGTTTAGTGGTCAGAACATTGGTGCGTAAAGCCAAAGGTCCCGGGTTCGATTCCCGGCGGGGGTGTGACAACAGCAACAATTTTTCCCTCATTAATTTGAGGTAGCGTGTAGTGGGTAAAAAATTCAGAAATTAATTTTCAGAATAATATTTCATATTAAATTAATATTATTGAAAAACTAGGAACTGATCAGAATCAGATATAAAGAATCAAACAGCACTTCAAAACAGACCCGAAAACCAAAGGAAACAGATAGATGAAAGAAGACCAAAAAATTGATTATGATACATGCCAAGCAGAAAATCCTTAAAAAACGAATCTATCGATTTAGATTCTTGTGGTAAAAATGATAAAGATCCTTCAAAAGAATGCCAGTTATCGCACTAATAGTATGAGAGTGGTCTTCTCCTTCAGCTTCTAGCGGAAGGAAGTCAAAAGTTCAACGATTGAGTCCAATGAGTATTGAAGACCGCCGTTGAAAATTTTTAGGTTAATGTAAAATGTTAAGTAACTAAAAACGGAAGCAATCCACCACCACATATAATGTTTAGCTTCAAATGGATAAGAGTGATTAATTAACGAATACTTCAGTGTCTTTAAAGAATAATACAAACCAAGAACAGCTTAAAAAGAGAAAAAATTACTCCAAATGAAGTCTTCATTTTATTGATCCAGGGATATAGGCCTAAAGACCTCATCAATACAGATTATTATAATAAGAACGTTACGAATAAATTTTTGGCAAGAGGTACCCGCAATATATGCACCACATTGGCAAGTTTGTGTTCCATCAAGATTATGCAGCATCACACGCATTTCTGAGAAGTCCATATAAATTATAAACAAATTCTCAAATATATTCCTAAAGCCGAAGGGTTGTGATGCATTATATGGAAAAAATGGCTCAACAATTAATCTCTCGAATTCTGACCCGAGAGGATATAGAATTAATATCTAAAACCCAGCGCATCCACCGGATATGAATTAACACAGAAGAACACACTAGGAACATTATTATTCCAATATATCGAAATAATAATTGAAATTCTGTCACTTTAGCGTTATATATTTTTTTCATTTTAATATGGAACAACAATATTTAATAGTTTCATGAATTCAAATGCTTATTAAGTAGTTATTTGAGATGAGGCATGTATTACTCTGAAGGTCAGTAAATTAATTGACAAGATCTATAGTAATAATAATTAAAGATAATACATAATTTTATGTAAATGATAATTACCCTTCGTTCTTCAAATCATCTTAATAATTTCTACAGTAATACAATTAACGCTTTTGCGGTCATTGTTCGTTAGAAGCGAGGCATTCGTTAAAGATTTTATGCCGTTGCCTTAGAGAACAATTAACCGTTTTCTCTAGGCATCTCTTTAACACCCTTGACTGGTAATTTTTTTTGCCCATAATATTAAAGCTCGAACAAAGAGTTTCACTAATTTCTGTTCTTTTTATGTCAATTCCTATTAACATGTTTATTTCGTTATATTTTAGATAGGGTAGTGAATGCTTTGAGCAATTTGAACATTAATCACATTCCCAGATGTACTTATGAATATCAGCTCATAAATACAAGTACTGTACGAGTAAGAAGAGTACATACAAAAATAAGGGGACTGTAAGTATCGACCGTTGACACCTAGAGGTATGGGCTAACGGTTAAACCATTGCTCAGCAGTTTGGAAAACACCAGACACCGCATTCATCTACCTTGGTCCGAAACGCAATACAAACCCCCAAAAAACACATCCCTTCAAACTTCGAAAACCAGATAATGTCGCGGTTACAGAACATGCCCTGCAAGGAGATGTTTCCCATTTTAAGAGCACTAGAATCTTGACTAACTTGTGAAGTTACTATGCTGGAATCAATCGAAAGGCCATAGAAACCGAGGGGCATAGAGGTTTAGACCATTGCTTAGTATTCAAGAGGACATCGATTCCATTTCGGGTCCTTTTGCCCTGGTCCATTTTTTTCTATGGTTTCCTTGGATCACTTAGACAAATGCTGAAGTAGTAATATTACGTAGATAATCTTTCACTGACTTCCGTCTTCATTTCATCCGTCTCATCTTTCATAACTCAACTACTACCTATCCACTATTCCTCAATGGAAGCTGAATTGGGACTTCCACCACGTACTCCGGAGGGATTGCCCGCCCACCAGCATTAGTAGCTGTGGGAATGGAATAGCCAAAATCCTTAAAAAGTTAGCCATCGAAATACTGAAGCACTCAAGCAGTTTCAACAAAAGGAAAGAGTTCCTGAAGGTGAATACAAGCTGACTATTGATCTTGAGTGGTACCACCATCAAGTGACAGCAACCATATGAAGCATGCGTAGTCAACTGACCCTGTTTCAGTATAACCACAATAATGGACTTGTAAGTCTAAGTATGTCAACCACAGAAGTTAGTGAACGTCGGAGAAACGATTTCACCACTATTCATACCGAAGGAGAAACACTCCTACAATCCTACAACGCGGCTTTTAAGCTCTAATTCCAAGTATTGTTCACATAATAACTATTAATATTTTTAGTGGTGGTACCTATACCTATGTAAACTTGTTTTGAAATCTTTCGTGGAAACCAAGTGTTTTGAATTTTTTTGGTCAGAATGAATAAGAATGGTTTTGTTGCTTTTCTTTATCAAAATTCGACCAATTCTATGCGACACACATTTAATATATTACTTTGATGTAAGGGGAGACTACTGTTGGGGTTTCTTCAGTAACTAAAGAATCAGGTGGGTAGTTTCGATATACGTCATCGAACAAATCGAAGTATCTCTCTAATAACAAGTTGATTTATATCAAATTGCGGGCAGTATATCGCTGGTGTAGATACCCAGTAAACATTTTTTACTGTTAGGTAATTTTCTGCTACGCTCATGTAACATATATGTAAGATTGTTTATCATATCAGACCTGTTGCCTGCTCCTACTTTCTGTTGTTCTCGATTTATTTGCGGGTCGTAATCTTCAAATTTCGCTTCCAATTCAGTGAACAAGAAAATAGAATTCAATTTCCTTGCGAAACGCGACGAATTTTGTAAAATTGCTCATTTTAGACAGTTATATTTATAGGACTAGCAGCATGTGATATGTTATCTTGAAGACAATAATTTTCACATTTGTTGTATAATTTTAATTTCTATTTGAAACAATACTTAAATAACTATAAATTTTTGAGTTTATTTTGTTTTAACTAAATAATCACGTGTTTAGTTGGGAGCTTGAATCGAATTTCTTATGTATTAAATATGAAAAAGTTATATTAAACGATTGAGATGTGATGTTATAGGCGTATGAAGACAAAACTGTGGACAGAAAAGGCTAGAGACGAGAATATATTGGAAACGTACGATGAAACTCAACATGGAAAAGGAAAGACCTCTGAGACGTGGATAGTTAAAGAAGTAGAAGCAGGAGTATATAGGGGTAGAGAAAGATGGAAATTAAATTACTGTTTGCAAACAGTTAAAATGTGGGATTTTATAGTTTCTGGAGAATTTATGTGGCTTTACAATTAACTGCTCTTAAAGCGGAACTTACTTATAATTTATTTAAGGGCGTGGAATGTCAATTAATTTAAAGACGCAGTAATTTTGGCGGATCTCTACAGATGGCGTTTACTTCTCTGTATGTGCCTATTTATGAATCTCGCATAATTAACGGACAACAGCTTTGGTTGGTAAGAAGTTTGTCCGAATTTCTGTGGCGTCCTCAGGTAAAAAATAAGTCCGAAATCGCAATTCATGTCTGATAGTATCGATAAAGTGCTGACCGAGAATTTATTGATTAATTAATTAATAATTAGGTTATTAAAAAAAGATAAAACTTACTATTGGCGTGTAACTTCTTCATGGGGTCTACAATGGCGAAAAATCTGTCAGCTGACAGTGCTGTTAGTGTAAAAACGGAGACTCCAACAGAAATGTCCTTCGCAGTTTCGGATATTTTGCATATCAGTTCACCCCAAGGCCACGACTCTAAGGTGTAAACGATCGATGTAAAAGGAATGCTGGTCACAATTACAAGTAAATCTGCAAGCGCTAGTGACAGGATGTACCTGAAAAGAAGAACGTTGACTATTATAAATATGTTAAGTCAACAGCGCTTATCACAAATTTACTGTTTATCAATAACGAGAGCTACGCAGAGTTGCAAAACAAAAAATTATTTACGTAA